AATTAACAGACTTTTTAATTAGATACTATTTATTAGTAAACATGGAATATGAATTTTAATAATTTATATCTTTATTTAAATAAAATTATTTTTTATCCTTTATTATTTACCAGGCTTGATTCATCCCCAAATGTCTGTAAATTAAAATGGAAGAATCTGAGGGATTCTTATTTAAAAGAAAAGAGAGAAGAAGTGCATTCAGGGGATGCTTTAAAAGCTAGCACTCCATGGAAATGGTATGATTCACTATCATTTCTTACTACTTCCACCACATCAAGAAAGACATTAAATAATATCACAGATAATATAGAGAATGTAAGACCTGTAAAAAGGGCTAGAGTAACAAAAGACCCAATGGAAAGATATTTAACAAAATGTTAGAAATTGATAATGACCCAGATAAATTATGGTGCCTGTCTTTGGTTGATAATGTAAAGAAGATGCCAAATGAAGTTAAAGACTGAAAATTAATGTGCAAACTCTTATTTATAATTATATAAATAATATTATAGTAGAAAATGTTGATGTTTAAATAGTTATGTATTATTTTATAAGTTTAAATTAAAATAAATGATTTATATACACATACATAAGTGATTTATATACACATACAAAAGTAATTTATTTATTTAATATATAATGATAATGTTAAATTAAACATATATTTAAGAATTAAAATAGTCTTTAAATAATTCTCTAATTTCTCTTGAATTAGAACTTGAAGCATTTAAAGATCTACTGATCCCTAAATTTTCAGTAATAGGTAAAATATTAGGTGTATATTCTATTTTATCATAATCAATAATAATATTATGAAAAAGAGTAATTGTAGATATAATTTTATCAGCATTTTCAACTGAACACTCTATAGCTTTAGAAAGTAGAGCAAATTTAGCAGTAGCTATGCCAAATGTGCATTCAATGCACATTCTAGCACTATTTAATTTATAATTATAATATTTTTTTTCTGGGCTGGTATTCTTCGTAGGATAAGGTTTCATTAGATAATTTTTTAGTGGGAAGGCTAGATCAGCAATAGCAATGATATTATTTGGCATAGGTTTAGGAGGAGGAATATAAAGTGTTTGACTTTATAATTCTAAAATAATTAAAAATTATTTATTAACATTAAAAATTTACTTTGATATAAACTACTATTTCTGAAAGTGCCACCATCACTTTGTTTTCCATAAGATCCTACTCTATATATATAAATTTGCAATTACTATCTGCTAAACCAAGTAACATTATAGATTTGAAAGCTTTATAATTATAAAAAAGGGTTCCAGATTTTGCAGGACTTTTTATTCTTATGTGCTTACCATCCAATGAGCCAAGGCAGTTTGGAAATCCATGTTTTTCAAAATATTCTTGGGCAATCTAAAAATATATAATACCTTCTCCCAATGTTCTCTAGTTGGAATTGGCATATGAATATCTTTTAAAGTTTTACATATAGCATCACATACCTCTGGAATGATAGTAGCAATGCAACTTTTGCTTATTCTGCTACTATAAGATAGTTGTGAATAATTAAGGCCCGTTCTTAAGTATCTTAAATGGTTTGTATATATATTAATAACTAAATATATTACCTTAAAGTAACAAATAACTCTTTTCAGGAGATATTGTTGTTTTTGCATTTGTTTGTTTATGTATAATTTTAGTTTGAATTTTGTTATGTATATAATAGAAAACATTCCTAGATAATCAGATAGTGAAAGAATTGCGAATCATTTAAATTCTCATTTAAATTGATATAGATCATATAGAGATCTCTTTCTTTATAAATTATACTTACTTTTCGTTTTTTTTATAATATCTCATAATAAAATATCTAGTTATAAGATTCATTTTTTGTTACATTATAGGAATTAATAAATTAAAATATTGGTTATTGAATAGTAATATATTTTAATTTATATTGCATACATTCATTATATTTTTATTTGGTTAGGAATTCAATTATCTACAAATTGCGCTATTTTTAGAAAAGAGATAAATTTTCGCGGTGTATTACGAAAACTTTTTGGACAACTCATGGGTTGATGGGTATAGGTCAGATTTTTTTTCCTTAGCTTTTAGGTAAAAATTAAATTGTTTTTGGTGTATTTGAATATTTTTTTAACTTATAATATTCTCTTACTTTTATTGGATTAATTTTTTATAAGATTAATATTTTTACATTTATTTACATGTTATATCAGATCTTAGTCTGGTATTTTAAATACAGAAGTAGTTAAATGTATAGTATGTTTTTCTTAATTTGAAATTTTCTGTTGTCTGGTAATTTAAATACAGAAGTAGTTAAATGTATAGTATGTTTTTCTTAATTTAAATTTTTTTTTTAAACATATTTGAATTTACATAGTAACTTAATTAATCTAGGTCCCTTCCAAATTAAAGATACTCTAATCCCCTAAACATTATATATGACATTAAATTTTATAGTTGAAATTAAATATTAAGATACTCTAATCCCCTAAACATTATATATGACAATAAATTTTATAGTTGAAATTTAATATTGATAATACTTTAAATAAGCTTTCAATGGTTTATTGATTATACATTAGCTGTATTTAGGCATTTGCTCTTAATGTTTGTATACCTTAATATAACTAATAAATCATATTTAATTTTATTAAATTTAAAATTATTTTATTTAATTATTATATTTACTTAGATTTTTAAAATCGCAACATTATATACTGATTATTTTTTTGTATAGTTAATTTTAACATTGTTAAAAACTAGTATTTTAGCTAGTTGTGATTTTTCTGTTTAAACATATTTCAATTTACATAGTAACTTAATTAATCTAGGACACTTCTTATTCAAAGATACTCTCATTCCCAAAACATTATGTATGACATCAAATTTTATAGTTGAAATTTAATATTGATAAATGCTTGGTAAGCTTTCAATGGTTTATTGAAAATACATAAGCTGAATTTAATTATTTTGCTCTTAATGTTTGTATACCTTAATGTAACTAATAAATTATGTTTAATTTTATTAATTTAAAATGATTCTATTAAATTTAAAATTATTATTTTGTATATAGTTAATTTTAACATTGTTAAATTTAGTATTTTAGCTAGTTGTGAGGTTCTTAAATTTCACATCAATAATAGTTATTCCTTATATAACTAGCTAATAATATATTCATTCATTCTAATTTTAGTTTAATACCATATACATATTGTAAGATATTGGAAATAGTAGTTATTTATTATATAATTAGCTATAGTTATTTATTATATAACTAGCTAATAATATATTCAGAAATTCTAATTTTAGTTCTCCGTATTATATATTAAAAATCAATTTACAAGTTAAAAAATATTCTTTTCAGAAATTCTAATTTTAGTTCTCCGTATTATAAATTCAAAATCAATTTACAAATTAAAAAATATTCTTTTCAGAAAATCTAATTTTGTTCTCCGTATTATATATTAAAAATCAATTTACAAGTTAAAAAATATTCTTTTCAGAAATTCTAATTTTAGTTCCCCGTATTATATATTAAAAATCAATTTACAAGTTAAAAAATTTCTTTAAATTTCCGGCGCATGTGTTATTGTAATTATTTTCTCCTTTCTTTCAAGCGCCGTTTTGTTTTCGTTTTGATTTGATTTATTGCAATTATTTTCTCTTTTCTCTTTCAAGCGCCGTTTTGTTTTCGTTTTGATTTGATTTATTCTCTCTCTGTCTATGTAAAATATTTTTTGAACATGTAATATTTTTGATAATCATTTTTCTTCATTAGGATCATTTGTCTCGTTTTTTTTGGAGGAAACTTTTAATATTAGCTTTAAATGTATTATAATTTGACAGTTTTATAATATCTTTGAGTTTATTTTGAAATTTTTTTTCTGTTCGTAAAATTCCACCTAGCGTCCTCCCCCTTGCTATTATTACTTACGTAAAATATAATGAATAGTTTTGTTTTTAAAAATATAATAAATAGTGCTGTTATTCTATAATAAACCTTAAATACAAATTTTTCCTGTAAATTTAAATTTAAAAAGTGTTCATCATCTTCTTTATTTATTATATTATTATTTGATTCTGCACTTTTAATTTCCTAATTGCGTCAATACACCTTTGGATTCAAACCAGTACACTGTTATGGAGGTAAACCTATCTTTATATATTTTATCTAACATTAATTTAATTTTTTGGATATTTTGTTTAATATTATTTGACGGTACTAAATTTTTTTCTCTAAATTCTATCTTTTTGGGATCTCCATTATAAAAACTTGAACTATTTTGAAATGGTATTCACCTTCATTTGTATTTGTTACAAAAACTTCAACTATTATGAAATGTTATTCACCTTCATTTGTATTTGGCAATAAAAAATGGTAACATAATTAAGAAAGATGGGAGTAAAATGCCTAATGTTAACGTTTAGATTTGTTTTCCCTGAATACTATAATCTTAGAATTTGTATTTTTAATGTTTAGATTTGTTTTCCCTTGAATACTACAGTCTCAGAATTGGTATTTAAATTTAGGATCATTTTTGTTTTTAACTCTAAAGGGGTTCTTTTACTCTCCTTTACTGGGCTCTGAAATTAGAGACTACCTCATAATAATATTATCCATAAAATTGCTATTATCTTAGAAAGTCTCTTTTTAAATAAATGTATTAGGTGGTCTCTTTTAAATAAATTTTATATTACATATTAGCGGCACCTAAGTAGTACTTAATGAGGTAGCCCTTCTCTGTTATATACTATTTCCACACTAATACTATTCTCCCTTAGTTGGTCTCTTTTAAATAAATGTTATATTACATATTATGCGGCTCCTAAGTAGTACTTAATGAGCTCTGTTATATACTATTTCCACACTAATACTATTCTCCCAAATCAAATTTTGAATTTTACTGATAATTAATTCCGACGTTTTTATTCTCTTTATTGGTTCTATTCATTGGTTCCCTAGTATAAATTCACAGGCAAGCTAAGCGTCTCTTAACATAAATGGTATGAAAAACAAGCTGGCGGTTCTCCTAAGGATATTAGAATCTGAGAAAATCGATATTATTGGCATTCAGGAAACCCACTTTCCTGGGGTGAATACAGCTACTTTTAATGACTATAAAATTTTATGTTCCAGCACCACCTTGAATAGTTGGTCTGGGATAGCGTTCCTTATAAATAAACGTATTCGGAAATACATAATCAAATTCGTTCCGGTATCAGATAGATGCGGACTGTTATATTTGAACACGAATTTTAGGCCCACAATAATCATCAATTTTTATGTCCCTCCCAATAGGAATGAGAGATCAAGTTTCATTGATTCTATGATAAATACGATACACTCCCTACCGGCAAGATATAATATAATTATCTTAGGAGATTTTAACATGAAACTTGGCAAAGAGGATGAATATGTAAACGGTAATGTTATTATGCATGCTACAATACTACAACGAAATTGTGAACATAGCAAGAAACTACTTGATTTCTGTAAGAATAATAATTTTAAGATCGAAAATACTTTTTTTAGCCATCGTGAAAGCAACACTTACACCTTTGTAAGGGCTCAGCAAAAATCTCAAATCGACTTTTTCATTTCGAATGTTCATCGGTGGTTTGATGATGTAAAAGCACTAACAAATATCAACATATCAGATCACAGATTGCTCAGAGCAAACATTACAATTAAACACCTATGGAGTTATTACAGTGGTAGTAGACATACTTCAATTGGTCCTAATACTAATCTCTTGCGCACAAATATAACACGTAAACCCTATAAAGTACAAACACCAGAGGATGTGAGACTGTTCGATCAAATATTAATTGGGAAAGCAGCTAACTTTGTAAATATAACTAGACAGGAAAATGTAGAAGCATGTTGGAAATTATTTAAAAGTGGTCTTACAGAATCATACAATGTCTTGCCGAACGCGACTCCTTTCTCCAGGAAACAATGGATGGCTAATGACACTCTAGAGAAAATAAATTTGTTAAGAAGCGTGAACGGCCCAAAAAGTGACTTATGGAAAGATGTACAGAAACTATTACGCCGAGATAGACGTATATATATCGCGAGGAAAGCCTTTGACATTGATAGGGATATGAAGGAAAACAGGATTTATGACGCATATAAAAAATTAAAATATTTTTGTAAACCTAGTAGCTTTAAGAAACTTCCCGCCATTGTATTAAGGAATGGGAAAGTGATCATAGATCAAGATGAACAAATAGCTGTATGGCTTGATTATTACATGACAGTCTTTGACTCAAGGAAAGCAACTCCACCAGCTAGCTTAAATATAATTTCGGTCTTACCCCCATCTGGCTTTTCTATTGATGAGATTACTAACATAATAAAAAAATTACGCAGAAACAAAGCTTCGGGGCCTAATGACATAACGGCTGAGTATCTGAAAATTGCACCTAGGACTGTCTCTTCCTTCCTTTTGACCCTTTTTAACAAAATATGGGAAAACTCCGGTGGATTGGAATGAATCATTTTTATGTAATTTCCCCAAAATTGAGAATCCACGGAATTTCACAGATTATCGTGCCGTCGCTCTGACATCATGTGTAGCTAAAATATTTATGACGTTATTAAAAAATAAAATTGTGAAATCGAAGCCCCATCTTTTCCCCAAATACATTTGTGCTTATAGGCCGAATAAAAACATACTAGAACCAATATTAGCCTTGAAAATAATAATGCAGAAATGTTATAAATACAAAATATCATCCTATTATACTTTCATCGACTTTAGTAGAGCTTTTGATAATGTTAATCACGGAGCTCTTTGGGAAACGCTAGCTGAATGTGGAATAGAACCTCAAATAATTCTCATCTTAAAAAACCACTACTCTAAATTAGCAGCGTGTTTTAGAATAAACGATAAAATATCTCCCTGCTTTAGAATTAAAAAAGGAGTAAAACAGGGGTGTACTCTATCACCACTCCTATTTAACATGATAATAAATAAAGTTATAAGAGAAACACTGGGGGCAGCTGATCTTGTTGATCTAAGTTCCGATAAGTCCATTTTGTTAACAGAATAATATCTTATGCTGACGACATTGTTGTAATCTCCAAGAGCATTGATGAAATCAAAAACTTATTATACTTACTAGAGACCCTAAGTCAAAGAGTTGGATTTGAAATAAATTTCAAAAAACTGTTATTCTCCCCTCCCCAAATGCTCCACCAATGGACAATCTTACTTTTGGAGGAAAAATAATTAAGGTTGTAGATAAAATTAGATATTTGGGTATAACACTAGACAATAAAGGTAGTGGTAAAGAGGAATTGTCTATAAGAATACAAAAGGCGAAGGGAACCTTCTACAAGTATATGAAAATTTGGAAAACAAAAGAGATCTCTGTTTTTACCAGACTGAAGTTATTCAACTCGACAATTGTTCCGATTCTATTATATGGTGGGGAAATTTGGGAAGCAAATAAGACGGAAATGAGACGATTACAATCATTTATAAATTCTACGTATAATTAATGGCATTTTCTATCCAAGAGTCATATCAAACCAAAATCTCTGTAAAAAATCTAATCATACGCCAATTAATATCACTGTAAAAAAAACGCCGTATACAGTTCCTATCTCATATAATAAGGAACTCCGACCACAATTTGGCTCATGACGAGATAGCATGGATGTACACACATAAAGGAAAACAATACACAAAATATAAATCTTTATGGTACTATAAAACCATAAAGGATATAATGGATTTAAATATTAATATGAAACAATTCCATAAAACTTAATAACAATAAGAGTTTCATCAAAAAACTTTTCCGCATTAAAAAAATTTACCTCAAATGAAACCGTATTTTGAAGTTCTTTGCTCATATATCATTATCTAAAGGTTCCCAATCAACAATTTTTCAACTTTTTGGAAGTATTCTATAATTTTTCTTACCAAAACTTGTATTAAATTTGTAAAATTATTAAATTAAAAATGATCCACCGCCCACCCTTATAGTAATTAAATTATTTTGTAGTTTTTGGTTTGTCCCAATCCTTTTAAATTAAAGCCTACAGAGGTTTAAGCAACATTTTTAAATGGTGTGCCCTCAAGTACGTGCGGCTTGCCCACAAACGTGTGGAGGGCTCCTCATATTTTTACTTTTATACCCGAATTAAATTGTTCCAATTAGATGGAAATGGGGAAAACATAGCGTAGCTCTGTTGAATCTTCAACGCTAGAGGGCAAAAGCGCTATATATCACGTATCACGTAATTCAACTTGTATTACATTTTATGAATTCAAATTTATCTTTTCAATTCAACTTTTTATTTTTGTAATTCAACTTATATTACTTATTATTTTTCGTAACCTTACTTTTTGTTTTTATATATATTCTAATTTATATTTATAGAAAATATATATACCTTAAGAAAAGAGAATGAAGTTAGTTAATAAAATATATTTTTACTGACTCGCACCTCGCGCCATATTGTTAAGTTCTTTATTCTTTTCATGGTGCCCTGGCTCTGGGTGGTGGACTAGAAAAAGATGACTACCTAATCTACTGAGATGACTATCTAACCTATGGAGACTGCTTAACCTATGGAGATGACTACCTTATCTATTGTGACTGCCTAATCTATTGATATGACCAATGCCTAATCTACTGAGATGACTATCTAACCTATGGAGATGACTACCTATTATGACTACCTTATCTATTGTGACTGCCTAATCTATTGATATGACCAATGCCTAATCTACTGAGATGACTATCTAATCTATGGAGATGACCAAGAATCAAACCTTAGCACGTTCTTTCATGCAAAAAGCTTCTTTCTTCATGGTGTCCTGGCTCTGGATGTTGGACTGGAATATGATAACCAGCACCTAACCTAATGTGACAACCTAGAAAGAACTGATATGGAAGTTGAACGATAGGTTATGAATTCTATTTTGTGAGACCAATGATGATTACTTATTATTCTAATCCACGTAAGAAAAGTTATTATAAATTAAGATTTTATGCCATGTTATAAATTTTTAAAATCACTAAAATGTAAAATCATAATGGATATATTTGAACACACAAAAAGCCTTTAAAAAATTATTTATAATTTCTTAGTGAAATATTGATACTAAAATGTAAAATCATAATGGATATAGACCACACAAAAAGCCTTTAAAAAATTCTTTACTTAAATTCTTATTGATATTTTTTGATTTCTTGAATGATGACCAATTGTTGTAAATTAACAACTAATCCTAAAGATGAATTTAGATATAATTAAATATAAACCATTAAAAATCCTAAACAAGAAGATAAAACTTTAATTTTAAATATATTAAAACATGAATTAAAAGGGATTGATTTAAATAACCCTTATAAGTAATACTTAATATGATAAAAATGTTTTTGAAATAAAGCTTTAAGTGGTTTACATCTTCATTTTAGATAAATATTTAAATGATGTGATGAGATGAGATCATTTTCTAAAAATTATCTTATGAAGAATTTTTATTTTAAAACTAGAATGTGAAATTTAAATTTTTTATTTAAAGAGAGGGAAATGTGAATAATATTTTATTTGCATAATTTAACCTCGGAGATTTAAAATAAATAAAAATAAATTAAATACTAAAACGCAAAAATTAATTAAACACTAAAACGCGAAAAAATAAAAGTTATTAAAACGCGAAAAATTAAAACGCTAAAAATATAACAATCTTATTGATTTATCATTCTTCACTTATTTTTATATTTTGATGAACTATTATTTCTTATTATTCGCAACTTACTGATGATAATAACGAATTTGAAAAATGATAAAAATAACAACGTCACGATTTGAACATTCGATATGGATATCAAGCTCACGATTTAAACAAAAACGAACAAACAACGATTTGGACAAGCCAACGATTAGTGAATTATGCAACATTGACAACCAAAACGATAAACCACTTGAACAACAAACTCTCTATGACTTCTTAGATGAAACTATGGGAAGGCTTGTAGAAGAGGGAGAATGTTACATTATAGGAATTAATAAATTAAAATATTGGTTATTGAATAGTAATATATTTTAATTTATATTGCATACATTCATTATATTTTTATTTAGTTAGGAATTCAAATTCAACTTGTATTACTTTTTATGAATTCAAATTTATCTTTTCAATTCAACTTTTTATTTTTGTAATTCAACTTATATTACTTATTATTTTTCGTAACCTTACTTTTTGTTTTTATATATATTCTAATTTGTATTTATAGAAAATATATATATACCTTAAGAAAAGAGAATGAAGTTAGTTAATAAAATATATTTTTACTGACTCGCACCTCGCGCCATATCGTTAAGTTCTTTATTCTTTTCATTTTTAAAAAATCAGCTGTAAAATATAAATCGTTGCTGTTTGGAAGTAAAAAATATTGCGAAAAACGTGCCTCGGAAAACGTTTTGAAAAAACGTCGTGTTTGGAAGTGGCCCATATAAAAAAATTGATTAATTAATGTATTATAAAAGTCAGGATAATCCAAATGCTTTGTCTTCAAACTCTGAATTCCAAGATGATCTATTTTACGAGGTATAAATAATAATTTTTAAATTAGATCCCTCCAAATGAGCCAAAGTCCTAATATTTCCTTCATTGTATTAGTTTAGTTAATACAAATAATAATATCATTTATAATAACCGCGACTAAAACTTAAAATTGGATTCATAACATTATTTAAATAATTCTTCTAGTATGGATAATAAACAAATCAAAATTAAATGATTATGAGGACATTGTAATACAATATAAATCGAGCGCAACATTTTAAAAAATAAGCATGATTATAATATTAACATTTCAAATTTGGTTAAAAGAATATGAGAGTAAATCAATTTTATTGGTTGAAAATTATTTTGAAAGTGCGGCGGCTCTATAACACACTAAGATTTTATAGATCTATTTAAATTACTGTCCGCGATAGCTCGCATTTTTGATATAGTTTCTTGTGGATCAGTAGCTTTCATAATGGCAGTACCGGATACAATCATATTGGCTCCGGCCTTTGTACACATATCTATATTTTCCAATCCTATGCCTCCGTCGACTTCAATGGATATCTTGGTGAATTCACTTCTCAATCGTTCGACCTATTATATCAGTTAATAATATTGTGGTTAATTAGTCCCTGGTTTTTGGTCGAAAAAATAAACCAGAACCAACCCAACCAAATGGGTCGATTTGGATAACCAAATCCATAGACCCAAGCACCGACCCGAGCACCAACTCCAAACCAACTTATATTATTTTTTGCTTAATTATATTTTTATGCATAAAGGGCGAATATTTCAATATTAATATAGAAATAATCATGTTTTATAATATTAGATTCCCTTTTTAAAAAATTGTTCTCTTCTTATAATCTGAAAATTAAAAATTAGAGGACGAGAATTCATCGAAATAATTATCTTCTATATAATTCATATATCAGCAAAAAATGAGGTAATATATGTTTATTAAATTAATAATTTTTGGGATCTGCGGTAAAGTTGTAAAAATTGGGTGAGGCTCAAACTAATTAGATGAGTTGGCTCTAGTTGTCCCAATAATTGGCTCAAATTTAATTTTGAACCGAAATGTTTTATTTGTCATTTAACTCTAATTCGCTAATGGATATTATAACAAAAATTTATTGTTTAATAAATAGCCGTAATCCCATTACAAAATAAGTTAGACAAATGTACTTTAGATGATATTTTAATTATCAAACTTTAAAAAAATTTGTTAAACAACGTTTTCTATTGAGTTTTGATATTTATTTTTATTTATATAAGATTTTGAATTGAATCCGTTATTTTGTGAATAATTATATATTGTATAGAATAAATAAAATAATTTTAAATTAACTACTTATGATAGTTTTGATGTAATTTTTACGGGTCATTAAATTAAAAATAGATCTAATCACTTAACAAACAATGATATTTTTACAAAACAATTATTTATATTTATAAAGATAATTATAAATATTAATTTTCTGAAATTTTATTTAATTCTTCTAAATTTATAATTGTTTAGCAATTTAAATTATATATATTCAATTGTTTACCATAACAAATATAGTATTGTCTCTAACATAACTCGATATTTTTATATCAATATGCCAAGTTCAAGAGAGACCGGGGATAGTGCTATCTCGCGGCATTTTCCTCAATCCTGAATTCATAGTGGCGCGATTGCAATCGCGATAAATACAAATACAGTAAATTCATATCGCATTCATAGTTACCGATCGCGCGATTTGAGTCGCAAAAGCTAGTCGCCGAGATTTTTTAAAAACCCATATCATTTTGTATTTGTCGGGTCATTTTTGAAATATTGCTTCGTTAAATACCGCTTTGGTGAATAGAGCATAAAATATTTTACATTTGGGGCTTTTAATATTATTTGAAATGAATTCTAAATCCATAGTTTCATTTTTTGAAGATATAAAGCCAATGGATCAAGTAAAATTATAATTTAAATTATAATCTTTCTTTAAAAAATAGATAAAATTGCATTTATTAATTTTATTAAAGATTACGAGTGCTTATATTATAAGCAAAATAACTTATAGCTGACCAAACTTAAGAGTGGGTCAGAAGCTGGTCATCATATATCATGGCCATTCTATGAGGATATGGTATACCTGGTAGATAGTGTAACACCAAGGTTACAGAAGTTATCTCTAGATCTGGTAGGAGAATCTGCCCCAATAGATATAAATGATATTTAATGAAATGACTGGGGAGATAAATGAATGTAAAATATAGCATTTTACTTGGTAATAAATTTATTATTTAGCTGATCTCATTGATAGTGAGAATATATTAGATGATATAATTATTCCCAAAGGTTCTGCAGCACTAAAGCTAAGTAGTGTGGTAATTAATAATATCTAAAATATATATATTATTTATATTGAAGAATCTATGTCCTCTGATGGATCACCTAGTTCATATTATAGATGTCCTAAGAGAAAGAATAATGACATCAATTTATATTATTTGATTTATTGAAAATAGATGAATTAAAGAGCTAATAAAATTAGAACAATATAAAACAAAATTAAGCATAGAGATGCTTACACATAAAACAAATGAATATGGAATATGTCTTATTTTGAAATAAAAATTAGATGAATGTATAAAACAGGGGAAAAAAGAATTAACGAATAGAATTTATGATGTTATAAAAAATCTTAATTGAATAAAATTATTTTGTATATATTTAAGTTATTTGAAATAGATATTTTGTATGAATTTATATTATTCGAAATAGATATTTTATATTATTTGAAATAAATATTTTATATTATTTGAAATAAATATTTTATATTATTTGAAATAGATATTTAATTATATACTCTATAGAATTTTTAGTGATATATTCCTAAATATATATTTTATAATGAGTTCAGACTATATAAAAGGAAAATTTATTTTATTAAAATATATAAAAAATATATTTATAAATATAATATATATCTATAATATAGGATTTTTGTATAAATGTAAGCATAATAAATTCCTATTAAGCTTTACAATATTTGAAGCAGGTTTAATAGATTGTTGCTTAAATAAATTTACAGGGAAGATTTTTTTTTAGGATTAAAAGGAATCTTATCAATAATAATGTTATGTAGTAAAGTAATGTGCAAGTTTGTATGATACTTTCAGTAAGTGGTAATTAGATTCCATTTTACTTCAAACTCCTTTTAAATAATAATTTGCATAAATATAATACACTATATTATACCTTTGCTATTCTCTCAAAGTCAGAGTAGGAGGTGGCATATGAATGCTTACTAAAATTTGCCATATAGCTTGGTATGTGGTCCTAATGATTGTTGAAATCCCCATTTTGAAAGAATAAGCTAATGTAGGATACCTACAGCTAGTAGCTAAAAATCTAGATAAAAAATATCTTTAAATAATAAAGTACTTTATTATTACCGAAGACAAAACTAGAATTAAAGATAAAATAAAATTAATAAATACTTTGGTCAATCTCATATAATTATAATTAGCCTCATTTTTTAAAAGTCGAGGAAAGAGGATGTAAAATTCGCCCTCTTTTTTTTATTAATATTAAGAGGGTCTTCTCCTCTTCAAGATCGTTTTGTATAAAAATAATAATTTGATGATGGATACCATTTTGAATTAATAAAATCGATTTGCACTATGAATGAAAATCGCGGCGATCGATCCAGCTGATAATCGTAATCGCGCCACTATGAATTCAGGGTAAATATTAATTAGCCGATATGTAATTTTTCTTTTATAACACTTATTCTTTATGGATAAAAATAACCCCGTTTCCCGTATTAGATTTTTATTTGAAACAATCTAGGTTTTATTATATGATTGTATTTGCTTCTGCTTACAGTTATTCCACACCTAGCCTTCATAAAAATAAATTCCTAAACTTTTTAAATCTTCTAAAATTAATTAAAAACAGATAATTTGAAATAAATATTTAAAATTAATATATCGAAGATTTCTTTTTAGAAATACCAAAAATTTCCAATTTATCAGAGGTCAGTCTGCGACGATGGGGACTGTCAATATCACCAGCTTCATTAAAAACAGATTCTGAAGAGATACTTGTGGTAGTTTAGATAAGTTGGATATTTATGGCAATTCACAGCCCAATATTTCAATGGATCAGCAAGGGTATTATCATTCAATGTTTTGAATACTGGATCGAAAATGGCTGATTATCTAATGCTATTATATAGTTAATAAGTAGCGATATGACTTTGGATCTAGGGTCTTCAATGCCCCATTATTTAGCAGACCTGGCAGTGTTATTTGGTTAAATTTAGAAGTTCTTATTTTAATTTGATTCTTTTCCATTTTTTTAAAATATTCTTTAGTTAATAAAAGTTTAGTTGCCAGAGCTAGTCTTCAAAGGCCAAATAAAAATCAAATCCTAACCCCAATAGAATTATATAATTATGCTAAAGAAAATATTAATGGAATTCAATTTGAATATATATCCAATCAAGAATATATCGAAGGGGAATTAGCCCTTCGCAAAAGATTTAATTCTGCGCTGCCCATACATAGGACCTTAAAAATTCACGGGGTTATTCCCATTGATCAAAATAGACTAAAAACCAAAATATATTCAAATTCTAAAAAATATAATATAAAACAAGTTTCGTTTTTAAATGAAAAAATTATATTTAAAAATATTAATGGATATGTAACATGTGTATATGATGATAAATGGTGGTTAGGATATATAATCGATAAATATGATACAAATGAAGAAGTAAAAATCCGATTTTTACACCCTTGTGGACCTTCAGCCTCATTTAAATTTCCCCTGAAAGATGATATTTTAGTGTTACCTAAATCTCATATTCTTTCGCTGGTCAATCCTTCTACTCTCACCGGTCGAACATATATATTATCTCCTGAAGAAATCTCACAAGCTAGCCTTTAAATGAAGTAAGATTTAATTAATTTATAAACTATCTTAATTAGGCTAAATTTGTGAAGATTTTAAAAATTTATGATCTGAATTACAAATAAATATATATAATGGACATTGTAATCGATTTAGTATGATATATATACATTAAAATATTTTTAATCAATAAAAAAATGATTTTTAACATATTAAAACTATTATATATAGCGCCATCTATTTTTTTTAAAGTATAAAAATCGCAATATTTTTTAAAATAAATATCCAGCCATGCTAATTGTTGAAGAAATTATTAAAAAAATAGTAAACGGATAATATTTCTTAAAAAAATTAAAAATCGGAGATCATATACATTTCGAAATATTAATTTCAAGTTTTCAACTGACCATAAGATGACCCATATTTTATCAAAAATTAATTTTGATGTTTTTGCCATAATCATAATTATTAACTTAGCTATTGATATTATATTCAATATTTGATCATATTTAGTTTAAAATTAAAAACTAGTTATTTAACATCAGTAAAAAGCAAAAAAAGACGTTTTTTAGACCTTTAACCCCGAATATCTCCGCTAATATAGTTGCTAATCCGCTAAAATTTTATTTCTAATCTAATGGGAACATATATAACCAGCCTACGATTTTTCATCAAAATCGAAAGGGGTCGGCCGAAAAGTGATTGATTTGACATGGAATGATCCAAGTGGGTTATGATTTTTCTCGATGTGCTTACTCAAATTTGTAGTGTTATGTCTTGAGATTTTCCACCTCTTGAAATTTTATCGATACACAAGTCCACTTTACATTTTGCAAAATAAAAAAAATTTCAGGCCCAGCCCGGCTTTTTTTTAAATAAAATTTTTAGGCCCGGCCCGGATTTTTTTAAAATAAATTATATTTATTTTTGATTTTTATAGCTAATAATAACGATTTCAAATATAGGCTGTTTTATAAATACAGCCCGGCCTGAATGTTTTTTTAAAATAATTCAGGCCCGGCTTGGGTGTTTTTTTAGAAAAATTCGGGACCGGCCCGGGTATATTTAAAAAAATTAAAATACTGTCCGGCCCGGGGGTCGGGCCTGCATGTCTCTGAAAAACATACCAAGAAGTACAACATCTGAAAGTAGATTGAAAGGTTAGGAACTTTTGAATATTCATAGGCATTTGACGACAAGTAAGGATGAGATAATTGAAAAATTAGCTCAATCCCAACGAAGATTGGATTTTACATTGTAAATATATAACATACAAAATACAATTATTCTTAAGAAAATTCTTGTGTAAAGGCTCAAAAAAATTCAAATTTCTATTTTGGGTCATTTAAGTGATTCTTTATATATAATTTTTTTATAATTCACATTAATTTAAAATTGTGTATTAGAAATAGTTATTAGTCCTAATAAATTTATGCTTGATATTTAAAAAAAACAATAATATTTCTTAAAAAATTTTATTATCCCCCCCCCCCCAGACCAAATTCCTGCGTACGCGCCTAATTGAATATATAAATGTTTCTTACCATTTTTTATATTCCAAATATACGAGAATTTAATTAAAATGAATTTAAAATTTTATAAAAAAATAATTTTGGAAAAAACAATGATAAAATACGAAATTTTTGCGCGCGAAAAAAATTTAAATAAACATAAATAATATGATTTTTTATATGGGATATATTCATAACATCTGTATAATAAAAAATAATAAAAAAATCATTCCGGATGAAATATGCTCCACCGTGTATTAAAGGTCCTGGTTGATAATCCATCATTTACATTAACCAGTATAATTAAAACTATCCCCTGGTACAACAATTTTATGAAGCCAGACACTAATGAATAAGATAGCAGATAACTTTAAAGTTATGAAAGATGCTCTAATAATAGAGTTGTCAGAATATCATATATGTACCATTGCAGATAGTTTGACACATAACAGAAGTTAAAAACTTATTTATATTTATAAATTGATCTGATTAAATGTTTTTAGAGATTATTTGGGAATCCCATGCCATTGGCTAGACCCTAGGACTTTAAAAAGAATATCAGTAGAATTAGCCCTCAAAAGGATAATGAGATGCCAGACATATAATATTAAATGGTCTCATACCAAACAAAGATGGCCTAGTTACAACCACAAAAGTGACTTTCACTGATAATTTTTTTGAAATATGATAATCTTTCTTACATTAAAAATATGTATATAAAATTAAATACTGGCCCTCTAGTGCTAGTGTTGAGAGATTAACTAGCGAAGCTTACTTTCTGATCGTCGCTCTAGACTTGGGGATGATAATATTGAAATGATTTTATTATTAAAATGAAACAAAATAAATAAAAAATGAATATTACCATAAATAGTTATTTTTATAATATAAATTTTTTTATAATCAAAATTAACTATATTAAAATATTTTTTTTATGTATTATTTACTATACCATTACATTATAAGCAAAATTAAAACAAATTTTTTTTTATAAAAAGTAGCTTAAAAAGTAGCCAATAAAGAATAGTAGCTATTAGCGCGCTACTTTTTTCGTAATCGGCTAAAAACTACACCTAAGTTTAATTAGATTAAGCCTAGAAATCGGCTAAGCCTAAAAATCGGCTAAAATTAAATTAGTCAAAATTCTGCATCGATGCTTAGCATTAATTATTATTTATTTATTTTAGTAAAATAATTTCTTTTATTTATATTTAATGTAAATATTTTATTATAATCAACAAATAAACATGATATGATTTAATATTTTTTATTTATATTATTATATTTTGAAATGAAAATAAATTTATTTATTTGATGTTTTTATAATAAAGAAAATAATATGCTGCTATATTGTAAAAATGTAATATTCTTTTTAATATAATTTATTAGTGATTTTCACAATCTTCTTTGTAAATACATCTTTTATTGAGGAATTATATTGTAATTTTATTAGATAAAATAAACAATCTTTTAGTGAAATATAATTTTTTTTTATCATTTTTTTAAACGATCTATTTTTTATTAAATGAGGTGGATTTTATGAAACTTTTTTGATGTTATTTTATATGATCTTTTTAAGGTTAATATTTTAATGTGATAATTGTCATAATCGTTATTTTATAAGTTTTATGAATTTTTTTGAAGAAAATATGTTAAAATAAGTATTAATAAGATGTTTAAATAAAAATTTAGTGAAGATGTACCAATGAAAAGTGACAATTGTCATAATCGTTATATTATAAGTTTTTTGAATTTTTTGAAGAAAATATGTTTAATAAGTATTGATAACATGTGTAAATATAAATTTAGTGAAGATGTACCATAGAAAAGTGACAATTGTCATAATCGTTATTTTATAAGTTTTATGAATTTTTTTGAAGAAAATATGTTAAAATAAGTATTAATAAGATGTTTAAATAAAAATTTAGTGAAGATTTACCAATGAAAAGTGACAATTGTCATACTCGTTATTTTATAAGTTTTATGAATTTTTTTGAAGAAAATATGTTTAATAAGTATTGATAACATGTGTAAATTTAAATTTAGTGAAGATGTACCATAGAAAAGGGACAATTGTCATAATCGTTATTTTTAAATTTTTTTGAATTTTTTGAAGAAAATATGTTTAATAAGTATTAATAAGATGTTTAAATAAAAATTTAGTGAAGATGTACCAATGAAAAGTGACAATTGTCATAATCGTTATTTTATAAGTTTTTTGAATATTTTTGAAGAAAATATGTTTAATAAGTATTGATAACATGTGTAAATATAAATTTAGTGAAGATGTACTATAGAAAAGTGACAATTGTCATAATAGTTATTTGATAAGTTTTTTCAATTTTATTTACCGAAAATATTTTAAAATAAATATTGATAACATGTTTAAATAAAAATTTAGTGAAGATGTACTCTAGATAAGCGACAATTGTCATAATCGTTATTTTTAAAGTTTTTTGATTTTTGTTGACAAAATATGTTAAAATAAGTAATAATAACATGTTTAAATAAAAATTTAGTGAAGATGTACCATAGAAAAGTGACAATTTTAAAGTTTTTAAAATTTCTTTGATGTAAATGGGTAAAAATATAGATTGTAAAATTAAAATTGCCTGAGTATGTGCCATAGAAAAAACATATGGTAATAATAGATTTTTCCACAAAAACAGGAACAAATTGGCATTTTGTTACATCCGTTCATCGGGTCAGAAATTAATATGCAAAATTTATATCATAATATCTAATCCTAAGTTAGAAATTTTTATTTATTTGCCAATTTTCATCAGACAATCTTGTTTAAGATTTGGGTAAACTTTTTTTCTTATTTTAAAATCAATATCGATGCAAATCAATTGTTAAAAATTTTGGTGCCTTCCTGCAATCATATAGAAGTTTTTCTTCCAATACAATATTTTTTATATAAATAATAATCAACCTTATTTTTATATTACCTATTAGTTTCTTCATAAATATATTATGTTAAACATTATATTCATTATCGAATATAATCTTATTCATTTTGCAAATATCTTATTATTATATTTTATACTTAAAAATTAACAACATAAAATTTTAGATTTTCTAAATGTCACCAGGCATAGATAGAAATATGTATTAATCAAAGACAAAAGAATAATTTAAATTTAAAAAAAAGTATGAAACAAAAATAGTCATTTGCATAAAAGATCAATATATTGATGAAAATACTGAAGACAGTTTATTAAATCTTTATTAATTTATATAATATCTATAATGTATATTATAAACGATGATAAATAAATGAAATATAATTGATATATTTGAATAAAATAGTCACAAATATCTAGTGAATAAAAAAAAAGTTATATTCAATTTTGAGCAAAATATTTTATTATGAAAAAAAAAGTTTAAAATATAAATTTACAACTTAGACAATATTGAAATATGATAATAGCATTGGGTTGATTTAAATATTTATTCCCCCAACTCCCACATGTGTTTAATTATCTTTTCCCAAGCATTAAGACACAGACACCATCTGAGTGTATTAGGAGCCAATCTATTTCTTTTTTTCGTTGCTGTATAGGGGGAACGCGAAAAAACTCGCTCACTAGGCACAGAAGAAGCTTGAGCACTTAAATAATCATTCGCCATAGATGATAGTCTAAAATAAATATATGCATAATTGAATTAAATTTTTAAGATATTTTTGATTTTGATTAAAGTTGGTAAAAAATTAATAATATTTTATAACATTTACCTAGGAAATCTAACAGAATTAATCTTCCAATAATCTAAAATTATTGCATACCCTTTCAAAGGCGGTTCCGACAGATATAACGCTATCTCATCGGAGGTGTGCTCTATTGCCGATGTTCTAAAATAAATATGAGGAAAAATCAATCATAAAAATATAAATTTTTAATACGTTCGCCGACTTTGTAAAACTGTTTCGGTGAAACATATTGGTCTATCTTTTTCCAAAGATTCTCCGTTAACTTGATTTATTTGGGGATAAAAAGCCTCATAATGTTGCCTAAATCTAATACGATATGGATAAAATATATAAAAATAATGTTTAAACCTGTCATGATAATCTTCATACTTTAAAAAGGAAGGCAACGCCTCTATTTTTATTCTAGGTTCGAGAATTGTACATATGTACATAGGTAAATTATCAAATTTTTTTATATATTTGTTACATTTTTCTTTCATGCTTTTAATAGCCTCTAATATACAAGATGGTAAAGGCGTATTCAAAGCTTCATAATGTAGCAAATATTCCAATATACTGTCCAAATATACCATACTAATGCCAATTGTTGGCATTTTTTCAGAGCTTACCTTTTATTATTCATTTTAAAAAAATTTATAACTAAAATACCTCCTTCGTCAGAAGATAGAAATGTGATAGAAAACTTTCTATTTGTTTCAAAATTTTTACATCCTCAGCATCCATATCACAATCATCTATATACAATCGTGCTATATTGCACAGCGCGTCTATTTCCTTCAAATAAAAAATATATTAATAAGTGAACACATAAGTTATTCAAAAATATTTTAATTTATTTTGAGAAAATATATAAGATTAAATTTAAACATTAAATTTTAATATCTAATAAATAATGTAATTTCAATTTTAATGGTAAATATTATGTACTTCGTTGGCTTGTTGGAGTATGAGAAATGTGCTATCGCCAAGGAAAAACTCAGAAAAATATTTGATGCATGCCAATATAAAATAATAAATTATTTCCAAGATTTAAAAACGATATATCTCTTACTACTGATATATGGTCTGGACTGAATGGCATATCGTACTGCGCGATCACTGCCCATTTTATCAAGGACTATAAAATGATAAATATTTTACTCGATATCGTGCGTTTTCCACATCCCCATAAAGCCACTGATGAAGCTGATTTAATATGGGAGTCCCTAAAAAATTATAATTTATTTGATAAAGTATTATTCATAACACACGATAATGCCGCCAATATATTGGCGGCTTTAAAAATTTTGAAATCACAGAAAAAAAAGAAATCTCACTAAAACCTTTAAATAATATGAGATGCCTGGCTCATATTATCAATCTAATAGTTTCTAAAGGCATTAAAAAGATGTCAACAAAGTTATCAAAAATAGGAAAAATCGTTACAAAATTACATCGCTCGGATAAAATTCTCAATGAATTCCGACTAACGACGCGCAAAAATGTGACTATTCCTTTACCTTGCCCAACTAGGTGGAATAGCACATTTCTCATACTCCAACAAGCCAACGAAGTACATAATATTTACCATTAAAATTGAAATTACATTATTTATTAGATATTAAAATTTAATGTTTAAATTTAATCTTATATATTTTCTCAAAATAAATTAAAATATTTTTGAATAACTTATGTGTTCACTTATTAATATATTTTTTATTTGAAGGAAATAGACGCGCTGTGCAATATAGCACGATTGTATATAGATGATTGTGATATGGATGCTGAGGATGTAAAAATTTTGAAACAAATAGATAGTTTTCTATTCTATCTTCTGACGAAGGAGGTATTTTAGTTATAAATTTTTTTAAAATGAATAATAAAAGGTAAGCTCTGAAAAAATGCCAACAATTGGCATTAGTATGGTATATTTGGACAGTAAATTGGAATATTTGCTACATTATGAAGCTTTGAATACGCCTTTACCATCTTGTATATTAGAGGCTATTAAAAGCATGAACGAAAAATGTAACAAATATATAAAAAAATTTGATAATTTACCTATGTACATATGTACAATTCTCGATCCTAGAATAAAAATAGAGGCGTTGCCTTCCTTTTTAAAGTATGAAGATTATCATGACAGGTTTAAACATTATTTTTATATATTTTATCCATATCGTATTAGATTTAGGCAACATTATGAGGCTTTTTATCCCCAAATAAATCAAGTTAACGGAGAATCTTTGGAAAAAGATAGACCAATATGTTTCACCGAAACAGTTTTACAAAGTCGGCGAACGTATTAAAAATTTATATTTTTATGATTGATTTTTCCTCATATTTATTTTAGAACATCGGCAATAGAGCACACTTCCGATGAGATAGCGTTATATCTGTCGGAACCGCCTTTGAAAGGGTATGCAATAATTTTAGATTATTGGAAGATTAATTCTGGTAGATTTCCTAGGTAAAATGTTATAAAATATTATTAATTTTTACCAACTTTAATCAAAATCGAAAATATTTTAAAAATTTAATTCAATTATGCATATATTTATTTTAGACTATCATCTATGGCGAATGATTATTTAAGTGCTCAAGCTTCTTCTGTGCCTAGTGAGCGAGTTTTTTCGCGTGCCTGCGATACAGCAACGAAAAAAAGAAATAGATTGGCTCCTAATACACTCAGATGGTGTCTGTGTCTTAATGCTTGGGAAAAGATAGTTACAGTCATGTGGGAGTTGGGGGAATAAATATTTAAATCAACCCAATGCTATTATCATATTTCAATATTGTCGTTGTAAATTTATATTTTAAACTTTTTTTTTTATAATAAATATTTTGCTCAAAATTGAATATAACTTTTTTTTATTCACTAGATATTTGTGACTATTTTATTCAAATATATCAATTATATTTCATTTATTTATCATCGTTTATAATATACATTATAGATATTATATAAATTAATAAAGATTTAATAAACTGTCTTCAGTATTTTCATCAATATATTGATCTTTTATGCAAATAACTATTTTTGGTTCATGCGTTTGTTAAAATTTAAATTATTCTTTTGTCTTTGATTAATACATATTTCTATCTATGCCTCATGGTGACATTTAGAAAATCTAAAATTTTATTTTGTTAATTTTTAAGTATAAAATATAATAATAAGATATTTGCAAAATGAATAAGATTATATTCGATAATGAATATAATGTTTAACATAATATATTTATGAAGAAATAAATAGGTAATATAAAAATAAGGTTGATTATTATTTATATAAAAAATATTGTATTGGAAGAAAAACTTCTATATGATTGCAGGAAATTTAATTATGGCACCAAAATTTTTAACAATTGATTTTAAAATAAGAAAAAAAGTTTACCCAAATCTTAAACAAGATTGTCTGATGAAAATTGGCAAATAAATAATAATTTCTAACTTAGGATTAGATATTATGATATAAATTTTGCATATTAATTTCTGACCCGATGAACGGATGTAACAAAATGCCAATTTGTTCCTGTTTTTGTGGAAGAATCTATTATTACCATATGTTTTTTCTATGGCACATACTCAGGCAATTTTAATTTTACAATCTATATTTTTACCCATTTACATCAAAGAAATTTTAAAAACTTTAAAAATAACGATTATGACAATTGTCACTTCTCTATGGTACATCTTCACTAAATTTTTATTTAAACATGTTATTATTACTTATTTTAACATATTTTCGTCAACAAAAATCAAAAAACTTTAAAAATAACGATTATGACAATTGTCGCTTATCTAGAGTGCATCACTAAATTATTATTTAAACATGTTATCAATACTTATTTTAAAATATTTTCGGTAAATAAAAGAAAAAACTTATCAAATAACTATTATGACAATTGTCACTTTTCTATAGTACATCTTCACTAAATTTATATTTACACATTTTATCAATACTTATTAAACATATTTTCTTCAAAAATATTCAAAAAACTTATAAAATAACGATTATGACAATTGTCACTTTTCATTGGTACATCTTCACTAAATTTTTATTTAAACATCTTAATAATACTTATTTTAACATATTTTCAAAAAAATTCATAAAACTTATAAAATAACGATTATGACAATTGTCACTTTTCTATGGTACATCTTCACTAAATTTATATTTACACATGTTATCAATACTTATTAAACATATTTTCTTCAAAAATAATCAAAAAACTTATAATATAACGATTATGACAATTGTCACTTTTCATTGGTACATCTTCACTAAATTTTTATTTAAACATCTTATTAATACTTAATTTAACATATTTTCTTCAAAAAAATTCATAAAACTTATAAAATAACGATTATGACAATTGTCACATTAAAATATTAACCTTAAAAAGATCATATAAAATAACATCAAAAAAGTTTCATAAAATCCACCTCATTTAATAAAAAATAGATCATTTAAAAAAATGATAAAAAAAAATTATATTTCACTAAAAGGTTGTTTATTTTATCTAATAAAATTACAATATAATTCCTCAATAAAAGATGTATTTACAAAGAAGATTGTAAAAATCACTAATAAATTATATTAAAAAGAATATTACATTTTTACAATATAGCAGCATATTATTTTCTTTTATTATAAAAACATCAAATAAATAAATTTATTTTCATTTCAAAATATAATAATATAAATAAAAAATATTAAATCATATCATAAAATAAATTATTTTACTAAAATAAATAAATAATAATTAATGCTAAAGCATCGATGCAGAATTTTGACTTATTTAATTTTAGCCGATTTTTAGGCTTAAGCTAATTAGGCTTAGCCGATTTTTTCACCTAAAATCTCGGCTAAGCTGTTTTGTAGCCGGCTAAAATTAGCCGATTACGCAACACTAATCCCATATAAAAAATAAAATTATTTATGTTTATTTAAATATTTTCACGCCCAAAAATTTCGTATATTATTATTTTTCATTTTGTTTTTCCCAAAATATTTTTTTAAAAATGATCACATCTTTTTTTGACAGTTACAAAAAAAGTATCCGGTGATTTAATGTCCCGCTGTGCAATAATGCTTATTTTATATTTATTTTTTATAAATTTTTATGTTTTTGATAAAATTAGTAAAATTTAAAAAAAAATTTTAGTCTTATCTTTGGTCTAGCGAAGACGATTCTTCATTTGAAATTTATTCGGAAGAAGTCGAGGATGGCCCGATTGAATTAAATTGGAGGGCTATTACAAAACCTATATCCCTTACAAGTTTTACAATAGAATACGGCCCTGGTGATTATATAAGTGGTCTTAATGATAAAGATCCCTATACATTATTTACATGTTTCTTCTACGCCTAAAACGAATTATTTGTTATTCGATTCGATTCGTATTTTACGAATATGAATATCACAATTTCGAATCGAATATGAATATTTTTTTATTATTCGATTCGAAATTATTCGTAAATATTCGAAATTATTCGTATTATTCAAAATTATTAATAAATATTCGTTAATATTCATAATTTTTTGTAAATATTTTATTTTTTCGTTAATATTCGTAAATCGTAAGTAAA